GCCACAATGTTCAACTTTAAAATAAAAACATAAATAAACAAAAAAATAAAAACAAATAAATAAATAAATGACATTGGAATCGGACTTTTTCTTATTTAATTTTCTACTTCTATTCATACATATTACCGTTGCTCTTCTAAGTGAGCCATTGCACTGTATTTTATTTTCAAATCAAATTTTTGGTTCCATATTTTCTATTTGCAATCTGCTATGCTAAACACTTCACTATTATCATTATCATTATTATTATTATTATTATTATTATTATTATTATTATTATTGCACGTATTTATTGTATTGTTTTCTAATTAATGTTAATAGTGTCCGGAAATGAAGGGAACACTGTGTTGCTGACCATTGTTTTGTTTTTTTTGCTCTTTCGTTATTTTAATTTATTTATTTTATTAATATTATTATTGCTTTATTTTTTTGAAAAGACTCAAGTCTTTTAACTTTGTATTCAATAAACTGTGTGGTACAATAAAACGACGATTAACGAGACTGTGCAAATTGATTCCTTTTTAAGTCTTTGGACATCTACATGCGTTTTATATCCCTACAGACCACATCTCGAATTAAAATGACTTTAATTTATAAGGAAAAAAAGTGCATAGCCTGCATCACTCCTTTTGGATATTATGAGCCTGACCGGGCCTCGTGCCACAACCTGCAGGAGTTCCTCCAAGCCTCGGGGCTTTTATCGGATAAAATAGGGCAGGAGGGAGAGATCGGTGTTGCCATCTTTCTAGATTGACTAAAATGGTGCCAGTGCGTCGTTTTTGCCTGGCGAAGGTCTCCGCCTTTAAAAATGCATGGAAAGATTTGAATGTATCTCAGGACGTCAACAGATGTACTGCGGACATTTGGCTTAAGGGAGAATCTACAAGATGAATAGAACCTGGACACCGTGGTGAACACACACACACACACACACACACACACACACACACACACACACACACTCACAAAATACAGATTAAATTATGCTAAGCGCTGCAATTAACAGCATCATGGAGTCTCCTTCACACTTTCTTGACCAGAAAGAAGGAAGAAAGAAGTCTCTTTCAGCACCTCGGACAGCTCTTACACCTGGTGTTTGGTCCATGCAGTGTGAAGCTTAACGCCATGCAGAACATAAAGGGCTCCATTTTGGGAGTGATTTTTTAGATTTTTAGGAAACAAACACGTTGTGTATGTCCTTTTCTTTTGCACCAGAATATTCCATCGCTCATTCAGAAGTCTAAAGTTCCAACACCAAAAGGAAAACACATAAACACCTCTTCTGTTAATCATCACATTATTTCGATCGCTTAAATACTCTTTACATCATTGATACATAAGCATTAGGCCTGTTTGTTTCAAATGCCTTCATATTTATAATTGTGTAAAAAAAGAAAACCCACACACACACTTTGCGATCCTGACGCAACGGAAGCAATGCAGCCGTGACACCAGCTAAAATCCAAATATTTGTTAAAACAATATTATTTTAAAGACTATTCATTAACATATTCATGCTGATGTATAATCAGTTCCCTTTCCTTTCCTAAAAGTTCCCTTCTTCAAACTTTAACACATCTGAAAACATTTAAACACTTCAGTAATATGGCAATATGAATATATAGGCTTATTCATCAGGTGTTTGAATTGATTCAGGTGGATATATGAGATGTAAATTCTCCCTATCACACACATCAAGTTATCACAGAGGAGAAGTCTGACTAACATAACTTCTAAAAACCAATTTAACCACCTTTAATTTATGTATATATTATTTAAAGGGAGAAAAATCAGTGCAAGGGGCAGCCGTTGCGACCCCGGCTGGGTTTGGAGCTCTGCCCTGCAACCCATATGCTCCCCCAAAATGTGGTGGGTGCTCACTGCTGTAATGACACACACAGGACCTGAGTGGCGGGTGATGGTACGCAACATCAACACCGAAGAGAAAACAAATAATTATATAAATATATCAAAAAGTAAAACTCAGATTGTTCCACGGCTTTTTAAAATAAATCAGATGTTTTGGGAGCGGAGAATGTTTTAATTATATTGATGTTTAAAATGTTGCTTTGAAATGTTGGAATCATGTATTTTTTTCTGGAACAACTTGCTGATCATTTCCTGTCAATTCGGTAAATCTGTGTGTTCCCACGAATTTAATCTGCTGATGTCAATGCTTAAGGTTTGGATGAATGCGACACACCACAAGTTATGTGAGAATGTAATAATGTTCTGTGTAAAACATGCACCAATAAAAAAAAACAATTTTTACTTACAGCAGTTTCCGTCAAAAAAGAGAAAAAAAAATCAGCACTTTCTTAATTAAACGTATATATTCAACTTATTAACCTCGACGTCTTTACTGGGTATTGATCTAACGACGATTCACATCATTTAAAAATAAAATGAGTGTTTTATTGTGAAAACTAAGTTATGAAAATTGCCATTTTTATCTCTCTCTTCCCCAAAAGAGGAAGATATCGTCATGTGGAATATAAAAATTATAATGCCTTGAAAAGCTTGAAAAAAGATGAGTTTTTCGTCGAGAACATACCTGTAACAGGGAAAAAAATATCGTTACACGTTTTGTAGTTCGGACATATTGACGGCATATATTTTTACTGATCCTCAAGTAGTCTGTAAATTCTTCTGTAATAACAGTATGTTGTTTTATGTGATAAATATCATTGAAGATTGATCAATATATTTAAAAAAATACTTATATTTATAGAAGCTCAACTCATGGGTGCAGTGACAGTCCCTGGTGGGAATCAAACCGATAATCAGACACTGTTGTTTCGGATTATTTGCTTTAAACCTCCTCCCACATAAAACTCTGAGGCCCACTCTGCTTTTTTGTGTTAACACTTTTGTGCCCCTATGTTCTTTTTGGCCTCATCAGCAGAAAAAATAAATAAAAAGAAGAGTCTGCATGGATTTCTGGAGGAGCCAATCTAAAAGTGACTCCAGCCAGCAGTGGGAGAGGGCATCTATCAAAATACTCCCCGAACCCCCGACACCACCATCACCACCTCCTCTTCCTCCACAGTCCGGTGAGAGTGAAAGAGTGAGAGGCTGGCAGGCTGGCGGAGGAAAGCCGTGCCAAGTCCCTTAATGTTCCCCAGCAGCAGCACCAGGAGCTCCGGAGAGGACAACCCAGTGTGTGCGCCAGTGTGCCAGTTCACCGGGCCAAAGTGGCACTGCTGGGAGGAGTCGATGTTTCTTTCCTAATTTTTGCAGCATCTGTTCATTATCCAGGACGTTTAAAAACGAGAGCGCTCATCCCGAGTAACCCTTCGCAAAACACACACACACACACACACACACACACACACACACACACACACACACACACACACACACACACACATCGTACACACAACTCACGCAGATACACAGCAGTAAGGCATTTCTGTGAAGAGTTGGTCTATGAATATGCATATTTCTCTCTAATGTTATGTAGTACACGAGCTCATGCATTGCAAGAAGGTTGTGTTGCATCCTTGGAATTTAACTGCGGGTGTTGAAAGCCCTCACATGCGGTTACCTTGCAACAAATTAGGCTGATGGCACACATACAGACACACGCAACAGCCAAATTTGAAAGAAAGTAGTAGTAGTTGATTTTAAAAATCGCAGGCAGCTTGCAAAAGGTTTTAGCTTTGAAGGAAAAAGAGCAAATCAGTTAGATTGGCAACCTCTGGTCTACTAACTTGCCACTGTTAGTCATGCAGTGAACGCATTTATGCTTTTAGTTCCATGGAACGATTACAGGCCTCTGCATGAGCGCTAAGTGCGTGTAGAGGGAAAGAGAGGTTGTGACACAATAAGCTCATAGAGGAGTGTGCAATAAGGTCAAACTGAGAAATATTTTCAATATAAATATATACAGCTCTCGTCAATAAAAAAGAAAAGAGATGAGGAATTCACAAGTGTTTTTCTTATAGAGTTTATGAATTTCTGCGAACATTTGTTCTTTTCTGTGATTAAATCATTTAATGTATAATTTGTGGTGATATCGTAAATAAAAACTAAGTTGCATTTACAAAAAAATCATTTAGCTAGTCTGACTTAAGAAAAAAAAACTTCCAGTGACACTCCGTGCTCCACTCAGGATGAAAAGTGAGTGAATGAATCTCGCTGTTTAAATTATCATGTTCATGCCCACTCGTTTTCTCACTCAACTTGGTAGGGGGAAAAAATCTAGAGTGTTTGTCCGACATAACAGTCAATAGTGCGATTATCAAAATGTCACAAGTACTATGGTGTGAATTCCAATTAACGTCTAGCTAAAATAATAATCGAGTGTTTTGCTAAATGCAGATATCAGTTAAGAATATGTGCAAAAAGATATGAGGGGGGATAAAAGCGCTGCGAATTAAAAGTCGATGGGGGGGAAATGATCTGTTCAAGAGATTGTGAGCTGTCGCAATCTGTCAGTGACTGAAAACAAAATGAGTCAGTTAAAGGGGACACAGACAGGGAGACAGAGAAATATACAACTCTGTGTGTGTGTGTGTGTGTGTGTGTGTGTGTGTGTGTGTGTGTGTGTGTGTGTAGAGAGAGAGAGAGAGAGAGAGAGAGAGAGAGAGAGAGAGAGAGAGAGAGATTTAATAATTTATAAACAAAAAGAGGAAGAATGAGGAAAGTACACACACACACACCGGTGTTTACATTAACTTCTCTGGCACCTGCGCGCACGCAGCAGCGCTGAAAAACTGAAATGTTCCACATGTGTACAGACTGAGGAAACAATCGGCCAACCCTTTTGCCAAACTCTGTGCCAGTGCGCACCCCCGCCCCTCACACTGCCAGACAAGGGTGCAGGCCTGTCACTGGCAGTTCGTTCAGAGGAAATTCCACAACATCTGTTTGTTATCGCACAATGGGGCACGGCGGAGTACGGGCAGTGGGGCAGGAGACGAGGCAGAAGCTAAACTGAG